TAGGTAGGCAGGCAGGTAGGTAGGTAGGTAGGTAGGTAGGTAGGTGGGTAGGTAGGTAGGTAGGTAGGTAGGCAGGTAGGTGGGTGGGTGGGTAGGTAGGTAGGTAGGTAGGTAGGTAGGTAGGTGGTAGTAGTAGGTAGGTGGTAGTAGTAGGAGTAGTAGTAGTAGTAGTAGTACTAGTACTAGTACTAGTACTAGTACTAGTACTAGTACTAGTACAGTACAAGGAGATGACAGGAAGAGGTAGCAGTTATGATTGCTTTGCATAGTGCTCGACTCCGTCTTTGATGACTTTAGCAATTAAACTAGCTAGTCCTCATGTATAATTCCTGCTTGGCTGCTGGTTCTGGCGGGTCTTTTTCGAAGCTAAGTCGAAACCACATTATGCTGACGTGTGTTGTCGTATGATCTATACAAGCTCTTTGGCTATTGGCTCAATTATTCCTCGTAGTGCTGTTCAGCTTCTGACTACTTTGATTGATGTATCGTCTGACTACATTGCTTGTAACATCTCCAAGGTAGGACTAGTACTGAAGTGTTCCCTGTTGAGGCGAGCACGGCGGAAAACTGAAGCGCAGCTGAACATAATCCGGTCGGTCTTGCTCCAAGGCGTTTGTACATCAGCTCTCAGCGTAAGGCCGCGGCGTATGTTGAAAGTCGTGACGGGGGATGGGCGCACAACTCGAGGGCCCAGCGTCGCCTCTTGTCTGGGTGATCGCTCAAGATGAAGGTATGGTCGTAGCTGCTTCTTCAACCAGTCCAGAATGTGTCGTGCTCCGTGTAATCAGATGTAGAACTGGAGCCCCTGCCTTCGATGAGTCTCCGGAATCCGAGTGCTTTGCGTTGACGGCAGCCTCCCATCACTCACAAGAGAGAGCATTCATCTACATCCCTGCACGAAGTCGTTTGACTGTGCAGGTGAGGGGCATGAAACCCTTCATGAAAGAGAAACCGCCAGAGTCTGTGATGTGGCTGATCTTGCTTGGCACATCTCGCTGCGGATGCTTCAGCTTGATATTCACAACCTACACCCGCTGCATCAGCGCATCTCGAAACGACACTCGGAGACGGAAGGCATAAGTCCCCTAATATCAGCTATAACTATAGTTACCCTACTTGTTACCCTACCTATCACTACCCATGAACCTCCAAGTATCTTAAACCTTTAGGTCTTGAGGTCGCTCGGCTCAGGGCCAGAGCTCGGCTCACCATGGGGGGCCCGAGGGCCAAAGCCGAGGGTGCCCGGTGCCTCCAAACGCCCAATCGTAGCTTTGAGATCTGCCACCTGCACACGCATTTCTGCACCACACTGTAAGCCCAGAGTGAATGGGGACTAGAGACAGAGGTTACGTAGCCACGCTGGCCGCAAAAGCAGAAGGAAGAGGACACCCTTTGACCTTCTTGACAATCCGTCGAGGCAGACCCTCCGACTCTCCCCAAGCAGTGTAAGCTGGGCTTCATTTGGAGTGAACAACCTAAGCGGCCTTGCACAACACGGCCATGAGAGCTCGATACTCGCAGAAGAAAAACAAGGGGTTCAAAGTGAAGCCCTCTCGGCCCTCTTCCTGAACCATCCATCCATCCATTTCCGTGCCTGTGAAAACATGCATACACACACAAGTGTGTGTGTGTGTGTGTGTGTGTCTGACTTGACTCTTTATGTGTGTGTGTGTGCGTGTGTATGTACATCTGTGGAAGGAAGCGGCTGCAGTGTAAGGAGGACACGGCGGCCCCTCCTCCCCAAAACACACACACACACGCACACACGTACGCACACACACACACACACGCAGACGCCCGCACGCACAAACTTCGACAGCACGGCAAAAGCACAAGTCAAGAAAAAGCAGCCGCAATGGGGAGAATTACCTGCCGAATGCCTGTATTCTGACCCTGAAGTAGACGGTGCCGGCCTCCTTTTCATGCTGCTCCTCCAGCTTCTGGACAAGAGCGTGGAATGGGCCATGCCGGCCCGCCATGGCTGTGCAGGGAGAACCCAGGACGATCTGGATCCTCGCAGCTTTTTGTAAAGTCGCGAGACCGCCCGCAGACTGTTGCAGCCTGAGTCCTAGATACCCGAGAATACCTGAACCCTGCAAAGAACACGTTCCAGCCCACCGGTTGCTGGCTGAGCCACCCTAAACCTTGCACGTGGATGGCAGGGTTGTCATGAACAGCTCGGGCCAAGCAGCTGTGCAAAAACCCATGGAACAGAAAGAACCGGCTGCGAACTCACAGGAACTGATCAAGAAAAGGAACAACAGCCACAAAAACTTCATGCTCCAGGCCCACATGAAAAGCACCAGTCCAAAATCTTCAGGCTTTAAGCCCTCGTGCCTCAACCGCCTTAAGCCCAGTCTTTGGCTCCCCACGCTTGAAAAGCAGCTGCTCGGCGGAATTCAGCTCATAGCTGAGGACTCGGCACCGCCTCGTATGCACCCCAGGTCTCCGCTTCTTCGCACGTCTCTCCGATGACGGATGATCAGCTCCCAAATGGAAATGGAAGACAGAAACAAGAACTAGAGCTACCCTAAACATTAAAGCCCAAAATCCATGCACCCTCAGACCCCAAAGCCTAAACTCCTATACCACCCAAACCCTGAACCCTCAATCCCATTAGAAGAACCCTTACAGATCCCAGAAAGGAACCGTCAAGGAACAGGAGAGAAAATCAAACACTCATCCCTAAACCCTATCCTACTTAGGGACCGACTCAAGCGCTTCCGGGTCATTCTCCGAAGCAGAAAGACAAGCCTCACATCAGCAGGCGGAGGGCCGAGCCGGAGAATTAGGGCTTGGGGTGCTATAGGAATCTCAATCACTACCAAGACTCTCTTGGGGGTCCTTAATATGACTACAGTATAATATACCCCAGAACCCTATTCTAATTTTTCATGCCCCTTTACTACGCTCGTGAGAACAACCTATCATCAACATCGCACTAATTTCACAGCCAAACGAACTGCAAGAGCCGTGGCTATGGTTCTGAGAAAGACAAAATGCAATGGTAAGAATAACCAAAACGAGAAGCATGAGTAGATTCAGATTAGAATTTATTACTGATGACAACAGCAAAGACAGCCACGACGACGAGGACCACCCGCACCACGACACCGCCACCACCAACAACAACAACAACAACAACGACAACGGAAACAACACCACCGCCGCCGCCTCCGCCTCCGCAGCCACCGCCACCACCACCACCGACAACAACAGTAACGAGCAGGAACAAGCAAGAGTCGCGACACATTAACGGCTCTTGCCCGACGGAAAAGAAAACAGCCCAAACGCTCCGAATCACCATCATCATGACCCTAAAGAACGACGATGGCCAACCGTCTTAGTAACGACAACTCTAGAGCCGGAAGTCTAGTCACTGCCTATACGATGTGCTCTACACATCTCTGGCCTTCTGTTCTTCAAGTCTTGGGCTAGATGATACTGCGTATGTATGTATGTATGTATGTATGTATGTATGTATGTATGTATGTTTGTACGTGCTTATCTAGTCATTAATTTATGTATTTATGCATGGATGCATGCGTTTTTTTGTTATTTGCATGTGTACATTTTATGTTATTTATGTTTGTTTGTTTGTTTGTTTATTCGCGTATATACATATACATACACCCATATGCATGTTTTGATTGTTTGCTTTAAGTGCGCGCGCACACATATATATATATATATATATATATCTGTACATACATATATACATATATAGATATACACACACACACACGGCTTATAGGGGGATGCTATTGCTGATTGTTCCGACCCCTCAGATCGGAATGTCGGGTGCCAGGCTTCGAGAGACTCTTGCCGGAGGGCCTTGGCAAAGGCTTCGCTTGGAGAAGTGCAAGAGTTTAGGGTTTTCGGGCCGGGTGTAGAGTTTAGGGTTTTAGGGTGTAGGGTTTGATTCGGGTGTAGGCTTCAGGGTTAAAGCGCTTCGGGTTTAAAATTCCTTGAAGGGATACTGGAAAGGGCTTACTATCAAGGGGGTACTGTAAGGCCTGCTGAAAGCGTTCGATGATGTGGTGAGGGCTTTCTGTTGTGGCGGTGAGGCTCAGGGTTTCGGCTTTAGTGACTTCAGTGCGTAGCGTTTAGGTCTGGGGGGGTTGGTTTGGACCTGCCGGGGCAGAAAGCTTGCGGCTCGCCATCTCTTTGGCTGCATCAGAAACTGCTGTGAAAACGCGAGGGAGCACATTGCCGTTCGCAGCGATCTACGTAGTGCTTCCACGGAACTCAATCACTCCGGACTCTACCCATTGTCCCGAAAGCTACAGCGAACCTCAAACTTAACATCGAAAGTCCAGATTGAAGGCTCCTGAGTGCACAACAGACCAAGACCCATACCCCTAAACTCTAAACGCCAATCCCTGAAAATGAACCCTAGGCCCTAGGCCCTAAACCGTATACCTTCACCCCTAGCCCTAAACCCTAAGCCCTAAGCCCTAAACCCTAAACCCTAGCCCTAAATCCCACCTCCACGATCTCTTCCAGTTTTCCAACATCCGACTGCCCCTCGGCTTCCAGGTCCTCCCGGTACATTGGGTGCTCCCTTATTGTAACACAGCCTTCTTGTATCGTATGGTATTACAATATAGCATTATGATAGCTATAATATAGTATTATGATATAGTATGATAATATACCTACGTACTATAAAAGAATATATAGGATTAATATATATATATATATACACTGTATTGCTTCTCCACTGTCCCTCAACAACTGACTGTACATTGGCAAGAATCGCATGTGCTTGTAGTTGAGTGTGTGGCTACAGATACATGTACATACCATATCTAGATTGAGATAGAACGCAAGAAAGAGAGAGGGGAGCGAGAGGGCGGAAACGGAGAAAGACGAGAGCGTAACAACAAAACTGGACTACTTACTCATGGAGGTACACAGAGTCTCTGGGAGCTCGTGTTTTGTCCATGTCTGCAAACCTGTATGTGCGGTGCGCACACACACACAGACAGCGGACCAATGTATCGTGTGCGTGCTTTCGCTTATGCGATGTAGGCTTTTATGAGTGTCTCTTTATCTGTCTGCCTCGTCTGTCTCTGTCGTTCGGTCTCTGTCGCTGTCTCTCTGCTTCTGCCTGCTGTTTGTCTGTCGGTCTTCTTGTCTTGCGGTCTGTGTGCTTCTGTCTCTCTGTCTGTCCGTCTGTGCTTAAGTTTGGTGTCCCTCTATCTGTAGCTAGCTCTTTCCTTTCCACAGGGTTGTGGTGCAGGGGAGCAAGCCCCCCTACACCGCGCGCAGGTGCGCCCCCGCCATTTGCGGGTGCCAGAGGTGAGAAATGCTCAAAAGGCAAAGTGCAATTGGTTGGAACGAAGGGGTTTCCCCCCAATCACACAAATGTCCGTCCGACCTGCATGGGGCTAGGCCCCTTTGAGAAAGTAAAGAGACTTTGCAGGGGCAACAGCCCCTTTGGAGCGTCTGGAAAAGGTTCTGGGAGCCCGTGCGGGGCTCGGAGTGATTTGGAGGTTGGCTCAGCGGCCCGTCTTATTGTACATCCGAGCTCAGGCTCAGGAAATCTCGAAACACACTTTAAAGAGACTTGGCAGGGGCAACAGCCCCTTTGGAGCGTCTGGAAAAAGTTCTGGGAGCCCGTGCGGGGCAGTGGAGTGATTTGGAGGATGGCTCAGCGGCCCGTCTTATTGTACATCCGAGCTCGGGCTCAGGAAATCTCGAAAACACACTTTGGAAAAGAAGGGGTGAAGACCCCTTAGCTAGCTTGACTCGAGCGGAGAGAAAAGCCCTGTGGCAGTGTCACTAGGGTAACGGGTCCCCTAAAGCATGGGTTTGCATGGGAGCCCCGCAACAAAA